CTACCTCTGCCTCCCAAGTGCTGGGATTAAAGGCATGCACCACCACACCAGCCAGGTAATTATCTGAACTCTAAGCCTCTATAAAATCAAAAGACAAATTACATACTCCCAACATTCAGTGGAACCGAATACACATTATCATTCCAAAAGGGAGGAATGGAGGCAGAGTAAGGAAATATCAGACCAAAACAAGACCGAAAACCAGCAGGGCAAATACCAAATCCAGTAGCTCTACGTCTGACTTCTGGGACTTACTTCCAAAGGGCTTAGATAGCTCAGCCTCTCTAGTTTTGCTCCATGCAAAACACACCTCTCTCTTGTGCTGGTACCACTCCCTATATGCAGGTCTTCTTGGCAGATGCCTTACAGCTCTAGCATCAGCAACTTCTTGGGGTCTCCGTTGCCAACCAGGCTTCACCTTCACAGCTTCATGCAATGGCCTATCGGGGCCTTCTCTATGCAGGGGTACTCCTGCTCCATGCTGCCTGGCCTCCAAGGCTCTCTGAAACCTCAGAGGAAGAATTGATGACCCCTTCACTCTTCCATCCTTCATGCCTCTAAAGCCAGCACCAGGTTAATGACACTGCCAAGTTTGACTGCAAGTTTGGGATGGACTCCAGCCTGCTTTATCCATTTTAGAAGCTTTTCTCCTCAGTGGTCCCTGCAGCATTTTCCTTTCACAAGTTGGAGGCTTAACTGGGTGTGGTCTTGCCCTGGAGGCACTCTCTCCATTGTTTAAGTTTGAATCTCTAGGCCCTTCCTTAATCACTTTAATCTCCTTATCACTTTAATCTCCTTATCAATGGGATCCTCTCAGTCACTTGCCAGGGCTCCAACATTAGTCTTCCTAGTACTCTTTTTCAATCCATCCTGTACATTCTGTATTTCTTTCTGTCCCATTTTCTCTTTTTCTGTAAATCTGTATAATATTCACCATTAATAGCCACGCCACCATTTCTACAGTAGGCTGTCTTGAAATTTCTTCCGCCAGAGAAGTTAGCTCATGGCTTTTCAACTTAACCTCAGGCAAGCTTTTTGGCTGTAGGCAGACTCCAGCCAGACTCTGCCAAAATATCCCAATTTCTGCTTAAGTCCTTATTTCCCTCTGGAACTACATTGTTCTCAGCACTGCTTTCTTCCAGGCCCCTACTAGAATAGCCTGTTAAGCTCAGCTTATAGCACCATTTTTCTAACCCAGCCTTCCAAAATCTTCCACATTACTTCAAACCCCCACATGGTCAGGTTCTACACAGCCAACAACCCACTCTCTGGAAAGAATGACTATATTAGTCATGGTTCTCCAAAGAAACAGAACCAGTAGAATGAATATATATGTATAGGGATTTGTCAGCTTAGCTCACAGGAGAGTCCGAGTAGTCCAACAATGGCTACACCACACTGGAGAGGCTGAGAATCCATAGTTGCTCAGTCCACAAGGCTGGATGTCTCAGTAGTCCCAATCTGTTGCTGAAGGTGTGGCCTATATTTCGTAAGAAAGCAGGCTGAGCAGGGGCCAGGGGAGCAAGCCAGTAAGCAGCATTCCTCCATGGCCTGTGTTCCAGCTCCTGTCTCCAGGTTCCTGCCCTGAGTTCTTACCTTGGGCTCCCTGATCAACTGTGACCTGGGAGATGTAAGCTAAATAAACCCTTTCCTCCCCAAGTTGGTATTGTCACGGCAATGAAGTTGAAACAAACTAGGACAAATGCAAAACTGAAATAATTGACTAAAAGATTACGGAAGGGCTTACATTGCTAGGAAGCTAAAAATAAATGTAGTTCCTAATCGTATATGCCATCTCTAACAAAATATTTTCAGAGTTGTATTGTACTCTTTCTGTATTTTTATTTGAATTTTGACATTCACAGAGGAAAAAACTGGCTTCACTCTAGAGACTAGCTGATCTTAAGGAGCTTTGCTTTTGTTTCAATGGAATCTAATTCATCAAACTATTCTTATTACTATGTCTTAGTTAATCATCATTATTGCTGATCTTATTTCCAATTATTATTTAAAAATATATTATTTATTATTTTTATTTATTTGAATGAGTGTCTTGCCTTCATGTCTATAAGTTAACCCATGTCAGCAATGACTGTGGAAGTTAGAAGAGGGTGTAAAATTTCCTGGAACTGGAGTTACGAATGGTTGTTCGATGCCATTGGGTACTGGGAACCAAATCTGGGTCCTTTGCAAGAGCAGCCAGTGCTCTTAACCACTGAGCCACTTCTCTGGCCCCTATTTTCAAATATTTAAATATAATAAAATAAAAGTATGGTATGTTTGCATAATCGCACAAGGAAACTGAACTCTAAGAAGGTAACATTGGGGACTGGAGCGATGGCTCAGCAGTTAAGAGCACTGACTACTATTGCAGAGGACCCAGGTCGAATCCCAGCACCCACATGGTGGCTACGAACTATCCTTAACTCGAGTTCCAGGGGAATCTGAAGCCCTCTTCTGAACTCTGTGGCATTGCATGACATGGGTCACTCACATACATGCAGGCAATATACTCGTACACATAAAATAAAAATAATAAATAAAATATTTGAAAAAAAGAAGAAAGTAACATTGTAACTGAAATATTACATTTTGTAGTGCCACATATGAGAGCTTGAAATTTCCTTTCTTTTTATATTGAAGTTTAAATCCTGTTTATGAAACATGGCTCCAGAATTAACAGGTTCTGAATTAACAGAATTAAAAGTGAGGTGGTATGAAGATGAGATATATGGAAATGAGAACTAATGTTTTTTACAGCACCTGCAGATGACTTGATCCTTGCTTTCAGGTTGGTGTCGTTTGTCAAAGTTGGCAGTGTGTTGAAAAATCTATTTTTTAAAAAAAATATTATTTTATGTGTATAAGTGCATTGTATGCATGTATATAAGTGTACCCATGCCCTGTAATGCCTGTGGAGGTCAGAAGAGGGCGTCAGATCCCCTGGAACTGGATTTAGAGAATGTTGTTAGCTGCCATGTGGGTGCCGGGAACCAAACCTGGTCTTCTGCAAGAGCAGTCAAGTGTTTTTAACTGCTGAGCCATCCCTCTAGCCCAAGAAGAATCTGTTGTTTATAGTTTGCTAATATTATGCTTCATACTTAGCAGCTTTGGGTGAACAAGAATTAAAATTTTCCCAATTTAAAGAACACCAGCTCCCTAAAAATAACTGTTCAAATTTTGATTGCCGTACTATATTAACACTGTATGCCAACTTCAGTGTGCCAGTTCTTCTGTCCACAGATCACCGTGTAAATTACAAATGTGCATCATGAGCAGTTACCAGTCATTTCACTTTAAAAGTCAGACAGTGTTTGGTTACTGCATCTGTTACTCAGTTTATGCTCAGACAGCAAGGAATATAGTTACATTGTATCCTCATTTCCTGATGAGAAACCCATATCACATTTTCCAAAATGGATAATTGAAAGAGGGATTTGGTCCACAAAGATGAAAGAAATAAGTGATTGCATTGGAAATGAAATTCAATTCAAATATTGGTATTATCTAGTAATAGCAAACTGTGGAAC